TTCACTGTGTAGCTGAATTTCTCTGATTTTTAAAAAGCTCGAAAAAGCCGTGAACTCAACAGAAAAGTATCTGTTGTAATGGAAAACAGGTCTACAGATAGTGATAATAAAATCATTAAAGAGCTCATATCATGCATTAGCTTTAATCCTCTACAGAGAACTTCTAAGAAAGAGCACATCCAAGTTGTCTGGGCCACCTTTCTGCTCCTCCTTTACTCAGACCAGCACTTTTCAAAAGTATGTCCAGGACCTCGATGCCCTTTTAGGGCGTCTGCCAGGCCAAAACTATTTTCATAATAATACTAAGATATTATGTACCTTCTTCACTCTCATTCTGTCATGGACGTACAATAGAGTTGGCTAAAACAATCTTGTTTATGTTGCAAACAAACAACGTCATAGAGAAAGAAATCAGATTTGTGGTTACCAGAGGGGAGGTGGGCAGAGGGGAAATTGGATGCAGGCGGTCCAAAGGCACAGACTCCCAGTTATAAGTTCCAGGGACATAACGTTACAACAAGGTCAATGTAACTAACACTGCTGTGTGTTATATATGAAAGCTGTTAAGAGAGCAGATCTTGAGAGTTCTCATCACAAGGAAAAAAAGTTTTGTATCTATTTGAAATAATGGATGTTCACTAAACTTGCTGTGATAATTATTTCATGATGTATGTAAGTCAAATCATCGTGCTGTACACCTTAAACTTCTGCAGTGCTGTATGTCAATTATATCTCAGTACGACTGGAAGAAAAAAATCTTGTTTATGTTAACATAGTGGATTTATTATGATGACTTTTAAATGAATTAATAATCATTTTTTCTTTTTCCAGTTTTAATTTCCAATATAGTAAATATCAGTGAGATATAACCCACATACACAAAAGCTGTACTTTAAGAATATAAAGACTCCTAAGTCCAAGGGGCTTGGAAATGCTGATCTAGAGAGTCTTTAAAGTGGGTGATTAGGGCTTCCCTGGTGGCCCAGTGGTTGAGAGTCCGCCTGCCGATGCAGGGGACGCGGGTTCGTGCCCCGGTCTGGGAGGATCCCACATGGCGCAGAGCGGCTGGGCCCGTGAGCCATGGCCGCTGAGCCTGCACATCCGGGGCCTGTGCTCCACAATGGGAGAGGCCACAACAGTGAGAGGCTCACGTACCGCAAAAAAAAAAAAAAAAGTGGGTGATTAGCCTTGGTACTTCTTGCCTTTTTTTCTATTTCAGAACAAAAATTCTCTTATTATTTTCACCTAATTATTATTGCTTCTGTCTTTTTCTGTAAACTGTATATTTCTCTTTCTGTTCTATAACCAAAACGGATAACTTCCCTTATTACAAGTTGTAAGATTTTAGAATTGTTTCCTTCTCCCATTTCAGGGCCATCTGAATTAGAGATGAACATAGGGGGACCTCAGTATAGCCAACAACAAGCGCCTCCAAATCAGACCGCCCCCTGGCCTGAGAGCATCCTGCCGATAGAACAGGCACCGTTTGCCAGCCAGAACAGGTGAGTCTTGAGCACTCAGGAGGTCCCGGAGAGTAGAGTTCATGAGTGCCGTGAGTTATCTCAGACCTAGGCCAGAAGTTAGTCTGGTCCTTTTGAACAGTTGGTGCCTGACCAGTTTTCATGTATTCAAACTATATCATTTAGTGGACTGGGAGTACAGGGGTTCGGGGGGCCGGGGGCGGGGGATCCAAAAATCAGTTTGACCTAGCACATGCCTTTAAAGAAGTTATAATTTAGTTGGAAAATAAAATATGTAGACTAATTAATAACTGTAATATGAGCTAGTATGTACTATAAATGCCCTAAGAGAAACAAAACATATTTCAAGGGATCATCCAATTGGGGTGATTGGGGAAAAAAGCTTCAGTCTTGAGTAAAGGTATCATGTCAGGAGGCAGAGATGGCAGGAAGCCAGTCCATCTGGCAAAAGCAGAATAATCAGAGTCCTGGAGGTCACAGAAGCAACACAGTATGTTTAGGGTAACAGAGAATAGTCTAGTTTTATGTTACATATATTTTACCACTTTAAAAAACAAAATAAAAGTATCAGAAGATTTGGCCAGGGACTTCCCTGGTGGTCCAGTGGTTAAGACTCCCTGCTTCCGGAGGAAAACTAGCAAATGATGGAGCAAAAATGCACATTTCATCTGTTGCATTCAGAGTGCTATAATTCAAAAATGTGTCAGTGAAATAAATGGCTGAATGTTTAAATTTTCATAAAAAGTAGCCTTTAAAATATATTCAGATAAGAAAATGTTTTGACCTGTGTATACTTTCCAAACTCATTCAAAAAATTATTGGGGTCTTAAATTTGCTGTATTTTAAAAACACTGTTGCATACATTCATTTTGTATCAAGTAAAGTCACAAATCCTCCTTTTCCAGCTTAAGAAAATATATTGTATTTACCTTAAATTTTCATGATTTAATAAACATTTAATCTTACTAATTTTTAATGCTTAATAGGAAAGAAAACTAAACCAAAGATTTTTTTTCAAAGTGTTCCCATAGCTCGCAGTTGAGATGATGACAGTCATTTTTGCACAGATTCTTCTTCAAGAATTCAATTCACAGCTATTGACTTTTTTCCTCCCTCTTATAAAAGAAATAAACTATACTGATATATTGAAAAAAAAAAAAAAGACTCCGTGCTTCCAATGCAAGGGGCATGGGTTCGATCCCTGGTCAGGGAACTAAGATCCCGCATGCCACAGGGCACAGCCAAAAAAGAAGATTTGGCTGGAAAAGTAGATTAGTAATGGAATAGATTTATAGAGACTCTTAAATACCAAACTCTTCTTCAGCCCTTTTTCTTTCTTTCTTTCTTTCTTTTTTTTAAATATTTATTTATTTACTTGGCTGTGCAGGGTCTTAGCTGAAGCACGCAGGATCTTTGTTGCCTCATGCAAGATCTTCACCTGAGGCACGCAGGATCTTTTTAGCTGCAGTGTGTGAACTCTTAGTTGCAGCATGCGGTATCTAGTTCCCTGACCAGGGATGGAACCCGTGCCCCCTGCATGGGGAGCACGGAGTCTTGACCACTGGACCACCAGCGAAGTCCCTCAGCCTTTTTTCATTAAGCCGTTGAAGAAGTTTTTGGAAAAAGGAAGTGGTATATGATCAAGTTTGATTGAATTTTTTTTGATTCTGATTATTAGTCTAATCATTTTTGTTTCTTTGTAGATAATCTTTTCTAATTGCTTTTGAAATATTTTTAGAATTGCTATACAGTAGTCTTACTATAGTGTGTCTAGGTGTGGATTTATTTATTTGTACTGCTTGGTATTTGGTGTATGTTGTGCTTATTTTATCTGTGGATTCATCAGCTCTGGAACTGCGGCCATTATCTCTTTATGTACTGCCCCTCCGCCATTTCCTCTGTTCTTTCTTTCTGGGATTCTGGCAAGACATACGTTAACCGTCTCTTTCTACATCCGATTTTTTAAAACTTCTACCCTCCTTATTTCTTAACCCATGTATTTTCCATCTCCCTGTCTCTCTGTGCTACATTTGGGATAATTTATCCATATCCATATTTCATTTCATTAATTATCTCTTTAGCTATGTTTAAACCAATTATATTTTTCATTTCTAAAAGTTCTGTTTGCCTGGTTATTTTTCATAGTCTCTTACTGTTTGCTTATTTTTGTGATTCCATCTTTGTATCATTAAACATCACATTCATCATTACTTTCTAAATTTCTTGATTCGATAATTCCAATATCTGGATTTCTTGTGGTTCTAAATCCAGTGATTGACTCTTGCTCGTGGTGGCCTGTTGCCCTGAGTATTTTGGTAATCTTTCATTGGGAGTTCCTAGTTGATCTTTGTCAATGATCCAGCCGGGGGTTAAAGTTGAAGACACTTTTCATGCAAGGGAGTTTGCATTGGTCTCTGCTGGAGGTGAGGGTCTCCGCTCACCACTCTCCTCAGTGCAGTCCAGCACTCTCCACTCAGCTCTTTCACTTGGCTGTGGCCCAGTGCCCCAGCTCTCAAGGATAAAACTTAGGTGTTGCTCAAGTTTTCGCTCAAAGATGGTTCTTGTTCCATCATTCCCTGCAAAGACAGTATCACAGTCGTGTTATATGCATAATCCCATGGTTTTTAAGCAAAGCACTGGAAGCAGACGTTGCACAGGCGACCTTGAGGCCTATGTGATGGTGCTGCTTGGCCAGTTGGGTGGGCAAAGAGCCCCGAGGCAGAGAGATAGTTAGGAGCCTAAGCAGGAGTCAGTGTGGGCACTTAAATGATGGAGGCGATGTTTTCTGGTCAGTAACCATGTTAGAAAACAAACTGGAGGAATTCTGCCTTGAGGCTCACATGTAGAAAGTTCGGGTTGGAGGCTCAGTGAAGACCTTCCAGACTGATCGTTTTGTCCGTTGGGGATTATTCTAGTCTAAAATTATGAAATACTTTTATCAAATTCACAAATGATGAAAGCAGGGTTTCTCAAATTTTATAAGGGTAGAATATTTCCAGAGCTTCTTGTTTAAAAAAACAAAAAATACAGATTTCATAGTGACTCTTATTACCCTGGGATAAAATGCTTTTGCATAGCTCAGAACTGTGGTGTGGTGCCCATTTTCCTTTCTATATCTTTTTTTTTTTTTTATATAAATGAAAAGTAACTTTATTACTGGGGAAGCGAAGAACGTATACAAGAAAATCTAGATTCTTTCTCCTCATGCACTACTTTGGTAATAAAGTTCCAAATATCAACTATGAAGATACTTAGAAGGATAAATCTTTCTTAACATGTGCCCATTTACTGTGTGGTGGACATTTTTTCATAGAAATCATATACTTAAACTAAATATAATCTTATAGTTTACAAGAAGCTTAGAATATTGTATTAACAGAAGACGAGATTATATTTTACTGCAAAATATTATAAAAGTGATACAATTTTGTGGCTCTTAAATGTTTAATTACTTGAGTTGAACAGGGGAATGAAGAAGAAAAAAAGCCCAACAGAAAAATCATCAGGACACGCCTCACTTTAAGATTTGCTGTATTCGATTTGTTCTACTTTCACGTCGTCTCCAATTAGCTGATACACGTAAGCGACAACTGTAGAAGCCTGGATATCCATCAACACAAATGAAGGAATAATGTTCGTTTCCAAGGCCTTATATGCTCCAGTGGCAGAATCTGGATTAATGTAGAATTTATTTTCATGCTCAGATGCTTCAAATTTATGTGTGTGTCCTGAAATAAGGATATCCACATCAAACTGCCTCTGCAGCAGGGCTAAGCTGGCCACATCTCCCCGTGGAATAACTTCATGTCCATGGATCAAACCAATGTTGAACTGCCCAACAGTTACAACTTTCTGTTCTGGATAATTCAGATTCGCATCGAAGTCTCCTCTCACAGTATGAACATCACCAGCCAGAGTCTGGAGATAGTCATAACTCTCTTTGGTACAAAGGTTTCCAGTGCGGAGAATGTGCTGAATCTTTCCTGGTACCAGCAGTTTTTTTTAATTTAGCTGGCAGACTGTTGCACCGGTGTGGGATGTGCAGCTCTCCTAATAGCAACGCCAACTGGAGATAGAACAGTCTTCATCTTTAGAGGGGGATCCCTTCAGAGATGGATTGAAGTACATAGTTAATGTGGGAAGCATCCTGTCACTGGGCTCTGCTCAGTCACTCCTTTGTATTATCTTCAGAGAGTGGTAAAGGATTCAGAGGATTCAATGAAGTTTTAAAAAATCAAAATAGCAGAAGATGAATATGAGCCCAGCAGTATTGGACGTGTGCGAAAAAGTTGGGAACTAGTTATTTCACTGAAAGAAAAGATGATTAGGGCAATTGCTTAATAACTGTTTTAGGGAGATAAGGAAGAGAGGGTGCTCGCCAACTGTATTCCATTCGCCTAGCGGGAGAAACTAGTGTCTTCCAACCCCCCTGTGCCTGTGAACCACCTTTGGGATCTCATTGAAAGGCAGGTCTGGGTGGAGCCCAGGATTCTGCGTTCCTAACAAGCCCCAGGTGATGCCAGCACCGCTGCTCCTCCGACGCACTCTGTGTGGAAGAACAGACAAGAACCGCAGTCAGTCAGTGTGGCTCTTAACTGGACTAGCTGCCAAGGGCGGTGTGTGGCCTCCACCACTGAGTACTCTTCTTGGGGATAGAGCATCGTGTAAATAACCACCGTGATCATTCTTGGAGGTGGTACTTTCTCGGGGTCCTTCCAGCTCCTTGAGTCTGATTTCGTGGTGTCAGTGAGTATTGCGCGTTTTCTAAATATCTTTATTGGATATGTTAAAAAGACACACCCATTTCCATGGAAACCTGCACATAGTAAAAAGGTAGTCGAATAATTAAATCCAGTACCTGAGAGCTGGTTTTGGATGAAATGTCTAAGATTAGTTTCTAGGGGCTTCCCTGGTGGCGCAGTGGTTGACAGTCCGCCTGCCGATGCAGGGGACACGGGTTCGTGCCCTGGTCCGGGAGGATCCCACATGCCGCGGAGCGGCTGGGCCCGTGAGCCATGGCCGCTGAGCCTGCGCGTCCGGAGCCTGTGCTCCACAATGGAAGAGGCCACAACGGTGAGAGGCCCACACACCGCAAAAAAAAAAAAAAAGATTAGTTTCTAGGGAAAACTGGGCCCAACGTTAGGATTTTCACTGTTGCCCAAGCAGAGGAAGGGTTCTGTTAAAGCAAAAATGAGGACCTCCCCGGCTGTCCAGCAGCTGGGGCTCCGCGCTTCCACTGCAGGGGCTGCGGGCTCCATCCCTGGTTGGGGACTGGGATCCCGCAAGCCACTCAGCGCAGCCAAAAACCAAATAATAATAAAATGGAAGAATTCTGAGTACACACTGAGGCCAGCTACAGAGTCGGCTGGTTCAGTTTGCTGGGGGCGTTTCTGTGACTTGCCCTGCCCTGTTCTCTTGTTGCTGTCAGTTTTCTTTGTAGAAGAGCGCTGTGGACAAAGCAAAACATTTCCACCACTTTTAAAGTTATTTATTTCCGTTTTTCCAGCCACTTACCCCTCTTCTTTTATTTTAAATAATTCAGTTTGGAAGAAATTTATAACCAACTTTATGGTAGTCTTATTGTCATAGAAATCCAGAAATGATGGATAACAAAGGTTCTAACCGCGTCTCTCTTTTGAAATAAAAGAAAAGCAGTGCCTTTTTTAAATCCCCTTTATAAGTATCACCATTAATATTTTATATTTTTACTGCCTACCTATTTAGGAATAGGTTTTTAACTGTTTTATGAACCCAGCATTAGTTTATATACACATTTCAGAAAGACAGTAGTTTAGCCCTTTAATCTCTAATGTATTCACCTACTCATTTATTTATAGCTGAATTTCCATTTTCTGTAGTTTCATTGTGGTTTTTCTTCCTTTATTCATTTGGTATGTAAAAGAGTTGTTTAAAATATAGCCCCAAATTTGTGGATGATTTTTTGATGATTTCTATTGGATTTATAAAAGTGAACAGTAGCTGCCTTTCATGAAAGACTTCCTTTCACATTAAGTTCAAAATCTCTGAGTAATTTGGTTTTCTCTTGTTTGTAATGTGTCTAAGAGTAAAGGTTCTTTGGTTGATTCTTTCTCATCATGTAGTAGCTGCTACTTTCTTGCAGAATTTTGAAAACACACATGAAAAGTGATAGTATGGTATGATTTCTCAAACAAGAGCTCAGAATAGATCTTATTCCCCTTCTTATTACCATCTTTAATGTCCTGCTAGTCTATAAATAAATGAAAGTGTAGATTTCAAGAAATAAGGTTTTTATTGATGATGGATTAACTTACCTTCTGCTAGTTCGTTACTTACCATTTTGCCAACTTGGGGCCTCTGTGTGCTCTTCCCTTTATTCCTCTGAATTTTATCCTTGACTTAATACTATAATTTTTGTCAGCCACCGTCTAGATTGTAACTATATTTGTAATTGCCCAAAATGTAGGAAAATAATTTCTTCATTATGTTGGCAGCCATTTATAAAGTTGGGATTGGAAGTCTGGGTCAATATTTTTTGCTCTAAGCCAAGTGCATTATGATGTTTCTAAGGGAAGTGGTGTAACCCGTGGTATGCCCAAATTTGTAATACTAAGCCACAACGCAGTGTATGTTTCTGAGGAGGATAAGGTATGATAACCGGGCTAGATCAAGAAGCTTTTATTTTCACTTGCTTGCTGAACCTATGCAGTTCAAGTACTGGTCCAACAAAGAGATTGAAGATGGCCTCACTGGGCACAGTCTAGGGTTGAGGTTTCTAAATAAATGCCAGCATCAAGCCAGCATAGTGCAGTGAGTGGTACTAGAGTTGAGAGGAGAGCGGGAGTGCTCCAGAGTGCCTGTGAAGGAGAAATGCCGAGCCCGGATGGGAAGGTAGAGTTGCAGTTGGAGAAGAGGGTGGGGAATGTGGAACGGGAAGTCTTGGCGTCATGGTGGGTATGCGGCATCCTCTGGAAAAAGGCCAGTTGCCCAGGGTGGCTGGGACCCACAGGGAAGTCGTGGGCATTACGTTGGGAAAGGTTAGGCTTTACCGAAGTGTGTGTGTCCTTGAATCCCACCACCACCAGCACCCTGTCCCAGGGCCTTAAACATTGCGAGTCAGCTCAGTAACGGGAGAAGGAACCTGACAGCATCGTATCGGGAGAATCAGAGAGAGGCTGTAAGCCGGAAAGTGTCTTGAAGGTCCCAGCTCGAGCTGAAGAGGGCCTTGACCAAAGTGGGAATCTGGGTCAAGCATTGGTTTAACGTTTTTAATTTAAAAAAGAAAAAGCAAATGGGCTATTTTATTATGTGGGAAATCGTTTAGATGCAAATGAGCATCGGTAGTTCTTTTTCTTTAAGCCTTTGGATGTGTCTTCCCCGGGGGTGGAGCTGTCTTCCAGAGTACCAGACGGAGTGTCCTCTTCCTTCTGACGCTGGGTTTCAGGCAGGTGCAAACTGGGCAGTCTTGCCTTGCCGTGGAGCCCGTGCAGCCTTGCTTGGGTTAAAAGGGAGTCGATTTCACATTAGCCGGTCATCAGCAGAGAGATCTGGGATGGGGGTTGTGGTCATGTGGGAGTAAAAGCTTCTGAAGAAACAGAAGTCGAAAATTGTGAAATAAAGCTAGAGGAAGAGAATATTAACTAGCATCTTTGGGGAATGAGGTCTCAGGCGTAAGAGAATTTGGTAAATAGACAGCATCCACTCTTGGCTGACTTGAGCTCCTTTGTTCATGAAATTGACCGCATCTAAAGTGGGTCATTGCTCTTCGGGGAATCCCCTCCTCTCTCTGCTTCCCTGACACGCAGATCTGTGGCTGTCCTCCTCCTTGTTGCCGCTTTTCTGTGTCTGCTCTTTCCTCCCACTCCCTGAGTGTGCAGTGTTCTGGTCACAGCTGTGTTTAAAATGTTGACTCTGGGAGAGTGTGGAAGCACGAAGGGCAATGGGGGAACCATTCCAGTGGCTGATGTCTTCCCGGGAACCGAGGCCATGGTGGGAGAAGAGGCAGGTACAGAGAGAGCCCCGGCCAGGAGCACGGGCCTCTGCCAGCGCTGGCGAGCGTCCTAGCGACGGGAACGCTTGGGTGGAGCGGGGTGGGCAGCGCAGCACACACGCTGGGCTCAAGGTGGTACCCCTCACAGTGCCTCGCAGGCCGTGGGACGTGGGCTCGGAGCCGCGGACCGCCGGCGAGCAGGGTCGTCGAGGGCACACTTAAGTGGGTGATTTTCTTCACAAGTGACATGGGCTAAATGGAGAGGATAGAGTGTTTCCAGTGCACTGGGTTAGAACTGTTTGAAACTGACTTTTGGCTTTAATCCTCAGCATTTCAGGATTCTGGGCCAAACTGACACAAAGCATATGAAACCGGTTAGACAGGTCGTTCATCCCTAGGTGAATCTATCATTGCTTAAGAATGAGGGAACTTAACCTGTAAACTTTATCTTCTCCGAAACATATAGTAACTTTAAGAGTACAAATTAGAGTATCATTTCCCCTTTTGCTATTACAGTAACTCAGAAGCTCTTTTTTAAAACTCCCCAAGTTTGTCAGTTAATTTAAATTATAGGAGTTTTATATACCATAGAATTTGGAGTGCAGTGTTACAGTTTTATCACCAGTCACCTTTATATAATAACAAACATAATTTGCATGTTCCTGGTCTCCTTTCCTTGAGTAACTCAGGAAGTCTAACGAGCACGCCCCTTGAGGATTTTAATAAATGTTTACAAGTCCCACTTACGCGTGACAGAGAAACGTCCCATCAGTCCAGCCGCGTGCAGTCTGACAAGCAGCCGATTCGACAAACTTAATGGAGCCGTTATGCTCATAGTGTCTCTCAGATGGGTCTTCAGAGCCTCATGCGAATGAGACTGCAATCAACTGGCCTTTTTCGCTAAAATTCAGGAAACTCCTTTGACTACTTCAGTACAAAGTAAACACATATACTCTTGAAGAGTCAGCGTGTATATGTGGGAACGTAGTGGTCACCTAGGTCGGTGTTGAATCCTGGCTTTGCAGCGTCTGCCTGTGTGATCTCCACCACAGGGTCTGACAAGCTCTCCAGGCCTCAGCGTTGCCAGCTTTAGAGCGGGGGGCAATAAAAACAAAGCTCACAACATCCGACGCCTAGGTGTGTGTCCGGCTTATCTCCGTTAGGCACTGGATAAAGTCTATCATTTAGGGTGGGTGGTTGTGTCTGGCTGGTATAGTATTTTACTACTTTTGTCTTTAAGGGAAACAAAAAAATGTTCTCTAATCAACTAGCTTTTCCACGGGCCTGAGATGAAGTTTGTCTCTACAGGCAGCCGTTTGGCAACTCTCCAGATGACTTGCTGTGTCCACACCCTGCAGCGGAGTCTCCAAGTGACGAAGGCGCTCTCCTGGACCAGCTGTACTTGGCCTTGCGGAACTTCGATGGCCTGGAGGAGATCGACAGAGCTCTGGGGATACCCGAGCTGGTCAGCCAGGTGGGCAAAGGGCGAAGCTGGTGGGGACCGAGCACTTGCGTGGGCACGGAGGTACCTGTTCTCTTTGGTCAGCAGGTAATCTGCAGCCTGCTTTTTAGAATGCTTTCTTACCTCTTAACAAGCCAGCTCTGTGTGCTGTCTCCCCCACTCCTTGTTACTCCCACATCAAGAATGGAAAATACTGAGAATGAGTTTGACCTGTACTTTGGGTCAATTGAGCTGAAAGGCAGAAACTCAAGTCCAGCTCATCTACTGACAGGGAGGAACATGCAAGGGGCAGAGAAGCCAAGAACAGAACATTGCTGCCCCAGCGATCCAGAACCTTCCATCTAAAAAGTAGTATCCTTAAAATGGTTCTGACAGACCTAGGGGCAGGACAGGAATAAAGATGCAGAAGTAGAGAATGGACTCGAGGACACAGTGGGGGGAAAGGGAAGCTGGGACAAAGTGAGAGAGTGGCACGGACATATATACACTACCAAATGTAAAACAGATAGCTAGTGGGAAGCAGCCGCATAGCACAGGGAGATCAGCTCGGTGGTTTGTGACCACCTAGAAGGGTGGGATAGGGAGGGAGGGAGGGAGATGCAAGAGGGAGGGGATATGGGGATATATGTATGCATATAGCTGATTCACTTTGTTATACAGCAGAAACTAACAACATTGTAAAGCAATAATACTCCAATAAAGATGAAAAATAAAAAATAATTTAAAAAAAAATAGGGCTTCCCTGGTGGTGCAGTGGTTGAGAGTCCGCCTGCCAATGCAGGGGACACGGGTTCGTGCCCTGGTCCGGGAAGATCCCACATGCCCGTGAGCGGAGCGGAGCGGCTGGGCCCGTGAGCCATGGCTGCTGAGCCTGCGCGTCCGGAGCCTGTGCTCCGAAACGGGAGAGGCCGCAACAGTGAGAGGCCCGCATACCGCAAAAAAAAAAAAAAACTAGTATCCTCAGTCACTCTTCATCTTAACATTTGTGGGCTAGTGATAGGAAGCTACTTGTGCTAAAAGAATATGTTGCACGTAAGTTAGCAGTAGTCTCTTATTTTGGCTGTTGGGTCTTTGTTGCTGCACACGGGCTTTCTCTAGTTGCGGCGAGCGGGGGCTACTCTTCATTGTGGCACGCGGGCTTCTCATTGCAGTGGCTTCTCGTTGTGGAGCGTGGGCTCTAGGTGCACGGGCTTCAGTAGTTGTGGCTCACAGGCTCAGTAGTTGTGGCTCGTGGGCTCTAGAGTGCAGGCTCAGTAGCTGTGGCACACGGGCTTAGTTGCTCTGTGGCATATGGGATCTTCCCGGACCGGGGCTTGAACCCGTGTTCCCTGCATTAGCAGGCGGACTCTTAACCACTGCGCCACCAGGGAAGTCCCAGCAGAAGTCATTTTAAAGGTAGCTGCAGTTCATTCATCATTTTGCCCTCTGTGTGGATTTAGCCACAGTCATATGGGTTTAATATCGATGGGAATGTAAAGATGTTAGCCAATCTTAGTGGGCTTCCCCCTCCTGGTGATTAGTTGGTGACATAAAGTCATTAACTACATCAAGAGTACTTTATAGCAACAATATAATAAGTAACCTAACAGTCTCATGAAATAACTTAGGACTTTTCTGAATCTGGCTACGCAGCCCAGTTTGTGTGAAGCAGGCATCCTGGTTTCCTATAGAGTCACCTGGAAAAAACAATGAGTCTCACTGCTGTCTTCCTCTTTTCTCAACATGAATCTTCTTTATTTATTATTGCTAAGAAATACCTTCCAGGGTTCTCTCTGCTTCATGGTCGTAGGATGTATCGTGAGGGTCTGTGGGAAGGGAGATACAGACCCACTGGAGACCTCTCTGAAGCATTCAAAACAGCCCTGTCATAATCCCCACGTTCAGCAGACATAAGTGGGAGTTAAGACTTGACAGTTCATACTGAGAACAGCAGAATGGAAAGAAATGACTTGAGGTTACATGATATAACCTGAAATAAGAAAGGAAAATGGAGTTGAAGTATTTCCTGTGTGGCTGGTTTGCTTTGCCTTTAGTGCTGGTGAGAATTTAGCATTCAGTATTGTTATCCCTGAGTTTTGTCTAAGTGACATTTAAAGATGTGATTCTTGGGGTTGCTGAGTGACTCGGAGCATTGTTTTCATCAAAAGTGGTATCATTTCATTAATATCTTCAGTCTCTTTTTCTCATTTATTTGTGTTGTTTCTGTTTTGTCTCATCAAATCCCTCATCCTTATATCATATTAAACTGAATTATAGAAATAATGATTAGGTGGAGTCGGGAACTGTAGAATACACGTGGACTTTATTTGTACTCATCAGAGTTGTGTGTTTTCTTTAAAAATGGATATTAAACTTTCTCTCTGTTAAAGATGGGCAAATGTTTAAAGATCTGAGATAGTTTCGTGGATGTAGTTAGAGCAGTAATTCAACAGTGAGTGGTTTCCCCCAAGCGGGCTCCATCCACATTTTTAAAACTACTACAGACAGGGGAGTGGACCCAGTTCTCACGGGTCCACGTGACCGAAGCCCAGGATTCTGGGTGGCCCCAAGCCCTGCTCTCACATGGGTAGACTGGCTTGAGGAAAGCTTAGGCTGTTACTAGGCTAAAGCAAACCTGAGAGATGATTTTTGCTGTTGCGTCCTTGCCTCTTGGCTGTTGGGAGGTTTGTGGCAGAAGGAAGAGGAGAATGAACCAGGTGCACCTTCCTGCTCTACGCAGAGTCATGTAGGGCCACCTACATCGAGGGTGTGCCCCTTGGAGAAGTTCTGGATTTTCTGCAGCCGCCTCCTTCTGACCCAGATAGGGCAGCCCTAAGAAGTCAAGGATAACGAACACGTTAAATACGGCTAGTAGGAAATAAGATGGTGGCAGAATGTGAGGCGTGTAGGGAATTCTGACGACCACAGAAAACAGTCAGATACAGGTGGCGTTTCACACTGGTGAGTGGCTCAGGTCCTACATCACAGACTCTACTGGAACCCACTCCTCACTAGCCAGACAGGCTTCTTGCAATTTGCTGCACATCTACAAGTCTCAGTTTTGTAATCTGCAAAATGGGAATAGTGGTGGGCACCCCAACACTGCTGATCCCAGCCAGGTACCAAGGCAGCTGTCTAGTTAAAATGATTAATACAGGTGTGACTAATCAAATCAGAACACTTAAGACGTGGGAATTCCCTGGCGGTCCAGTGGTTAGGACTCTGCACTTTCTTGCCAGGGCCTGGGTTTAACCCCTGCTTGGGGAACTAAGATCCCACAAGCCAGCAAAAAAAAAGCCCCTTGAGGCGTCTAGGGAACGTTCGCATTCTTCCAACCGGTGGCATGAGTAGGAGGCATTCCGTAGTCACAGCCCATCTCTCCCTTCCCTCGGAAGAAGTGCTGTGGGGAGTCAAGCCTGACCCCCTGCTTCTTACCTCAAGTAACTGGATCTCTGGAACAGAGACATTTTCTAGGAAGACAAGTGGAGTCAAGGTAGAAGTCCCTTTGTGTAGTAAGTGCAATAGCAGAAGCCTCAAATACAGGGCAGTGAGAGGAAACAGCCTTCTGTTCGCTTTGCAGTTTTCAGTGGTTTCATTGATTTGTTTGTTATCCGGGGGCTTTCTCCTCAGAGCCAAGCGGTGGATCCAGAGCAGTTCCCAAGTCAGGATTCCAACATCCTGCTGGAGCAGAAGGCCCCCGTGTTCCCACAGCAGTATGCATCTCAGGCACAAATGGCCCAAGGCAGCTACACTGCCATGCAGGATCCAAGCTTCCACACCATGGGGCAGCGGCCGAGCTACGCCACGCTCCGTGTGCAGCCCAGACCTGGCCTCAGGCCCACGGGCCTGGCGCAGACCCAGCCCAACCAGCTGAGGCTTCAGCTGCAGCATCGCCTCCAAGCACAGCAGGTGCGTTCCTGGCTGCGCCTGGAAAATCGGGGGGCGGTGCGG